TGCTGCTGGGGCATGTGATGGTGAGTCACACAGGGGCTAAGTGTTGATGTACATTTGTTGGTTTGAATTTTATCCATAGTTCTGCAGTTATGCCTATAGATACACTAAGCAGAAACACAGGGGATATGCCTTCTTCAGTACCCCCAGGAGAAAGCAGCAATGTAATGCAGCGAGATAACTACTAATTGCCTGCTATGACACAGAATTTAAGCCAGAAGCAAAGTGCAATAATATGAGCTTTGTTGCCTGGGATGGAACCAGAGAGAAAGCAAAATCCAGCTGACTCCCTCAAAAGGAAAACCTTGGGTGTGGAATTAGCATATCAAAGCTTTATGTGTTATTGTAGACAAGTTGAATGCTGTTTCATCTTCATCATCACTAGCTAATCAGAGCTATTAGAACAATACATATCTGTAAGATTAATTAGCCAGCAGGAAGAGGAGCAGAACTCACAGGCTGCTGTGAATACACAGCAGCCTTCCAATCATTTTTCTTTGTAATTAGAGCAAAGTTTAGCGTGAACTAGAAAAAAACTGCATCCTTGAAATGAACTAACTCTTATCCAGCTTGAGAAGACTCTCACAGAGGCATCTCAGGGTTTGGGGAAGAATGTACTTTTTGCAAGCTTCAGTGTGGTTTTGGGGGGCGATATCAAGTATTAGATGAAATAAAAGGAATATTTTCTTGCAGTAGTTAGTACCCTTTGGGCAAGGGGTAGGCAGTGGAAAAGCAACTTAAAGCTGCAGGAATAAGTTTGTTTGTCCCAGAGAGCCATTAAAGTGAAGACAATTACTGATGAGTAATAAAGAACATGAGCTGAAAGGAGAAAAAACCAATTGTACGATTGTATAGAAAGCTGTGAAGACACTCGGGGAATTTCAGCATATTATCTACCCAAAAGAGACCAATTAAGACAAAATGTGTGGGAGAAGCAGAAAAGAAGCAGGATATACTGTAAGCAGTAGTAATGTTACTGTTAGCATTTACTATTCTGTAAGCCCTTGGTCATATCTGAGCCAAAACCAATTTACAGAAGTAAAAGCTACCAAGATCTTATGAAGACAGGTAAAATAACATGGAATCTTTGCTGTCTTTAGCATAATAAGGGAATATAGAATAACAGAATAATTTGAGTTGGAAGGGACCTTCAAAGGCCATCTAGTCCAACTCCCTGCAGTGACCACACTGCTCAGAGCCCTGACCATCCTGACCTGAGTGCTGCCATAGTCAAGGCACCCACCACCCCACTGAGCAACCTGTGCCAGTGCTTCATTACACTTACTGCCAAAACTTTTCTTTATATCCAACCTAAATCTCCACTCTTTTAGTTTGAAAACATTTCCCCTTGTCCCATCACAACAGACACTGCTGAAGAGTCTGTCCCCTTCCCTCTTACAGCCCCCTTTAGGTACTGAAAGGCTTCTCTCATGTCTCCCCAGAGCCTTCTCTTCTCCAGGCAGCACAGCCTCAGCTCTCAAACCATGTTCACGGGGAATGTGTTCCATCCCTATATCCCTAATATCTCCATCAGTATTCAGATGTTTATTTGAATGTTATTATTTTGAGGGAGGGGAGATTTAGGTTGGACGTCAGGGGGAAATTCTTTCCAGAGAGAGCGGTGAGGTGCTGGAACAGCTGCCCAGAGAGGCTGTGGATGCCCCGTCCCTGGAAGCGTTCAAGGCCAGGTTGGATGGGGCCCTGGGCAGCCTGGTCTAGCATTAAATGAGAAGGCTGGTGGCCCTGCATGTGGCAGGGGGGTTGGAATTTCATGATCCTTGAGGTCCTTTCCAACCCTGGCCATTCTGTGATTCTGTGATTCTGTGATTTTGTAGGGGTGCAGAGCTGGTCTGCACTTGATCAGAGCAGGAAAGATTTCTTTGGCCAATCATACTGAAATTATTTTGAGATTTATAGAAAAGCAATGTAACCATAGAGAAGGTGGATTTCCAGGCAGGCCAGAATGTGTTGTGAAGGCAACATTGACTCATGCGGACTGAATTTTGGCAAATAAAGTCTTACCAACAGCTGAACAGACAGAGAATTTAACTTGCAAAACCTACCTACAGCACAGGCATTGAGAAACAAAGAAGTACATACAAATTTCAGCTTTTAAGTTCAGCTTAAAGGCAACAACTAATTAATAGCATTAAGCAAGGTTATTTCTTGCAATTTGTAATCCTTAATCTCTAATTAGTAAATAATACCTTGGAAGGCAGAGTTGCAAGTTCTTTTCAAATGCCTTTGTTTCTCTACTCTCATGTGTTATACAGCAAGCCAAGAAGCCAGTCCAATCCAACAGGTTGCCATCCTTAGTTATGTTTGGTGTAAACTGATTTTTTTTCCCAAAGCCTTCAGTTTTAGGTGCTAGAAAGCTACAATTAGGTTTGTATTGTTAAGATAAAAGAGAGCCAGTGGTGTGAGGGCACAGTGGATGGCCAATTAATGCACCATCCAGCTGCTCCCAGGCCTCTCACAGGAACTACAGCTCATCCAAAGCCCATCTCCAGAAGCCCAGAGGTGCACAGGGGCACGAAGGCAATGGATAACTTAAATCACAATTGGTGATTGCTGGTCTGTACCAGCAGCTGCAAGGGAACAGTGGTTTCATGGGCTCCAATGTTCAGGTACAGCAATGAGTGAGACTGGAATCCAGGAAGCAGATTACTTTTAAGAAGTCACAAAGTGCCTCTTACCAGAATTTTGTGACACCCTGTAGAATTCTAAGATGTTTTTCAAAGATGAATGATATAAGAATCAGTTTTTGAAATAATAATTCTCCGATCTTTTACAGTGCTTTCTGAGTTGCTGTGAAAAGGAAAGTTTTCCAGATTCAGAGAGATCTGCAGATGCAGGCACACTGAGAGTAAATAGAATACTGCTGCAAAGAAAGACAAAACAGTGTTAGAGTAAAGTAAATGCATGATTAATAACATAATTAATACAATCAGGCATTAATCGACAAGTCAAATATCTCTCTGGTTTTAAACCCTTTTATGTAAGTCTGCACTAAAGCTCTGTTACCAATGCCTGTGGCTCTGGGTGTTAGATACAACGCTGAGAATCTGAGGTGCTGCTGCCACCCTCTGTTTGTCTCATATTCTGCAGAATTTTCCCCACACAGACGACAGAAGCAAGCAGGAATTGTTCTCTCAGATGCTGCAAATAACAACTGTGTCATGAATTCCAGCTGCTGGAGGTAAAGACGTTGTTGCATTCAGAGGTTTGGGTCTGTTCTCCAGTCTTCAGCCAAAATGGGGTTGGCTTTTAGCTTCTGGGTTTTTCTGCACTTGAAACTTGTTTTTGAAGAGTGGTGAAGTCAAAGCAAATCACTTTGTAACTTAGACGGATGTGAAAGTTTAACAGAGTTCAGAGCTGAAGTCCAGGGAGCACAAAAAGAAACCATATTATCACTCACTGCTACTTCGCTTGAATTTTTGTGCAAGATTGGTTTTGCTTTCAAGCTGCTTCTTGCTTTGGTAAGGGAAACCTATAGCAAGTTGCTGCTGTGCTTCATTGATTTCCATAGAGGGCTTCTTAAAATTCATTCTCCTCAATAAAGCTGTAATGGCGAGACTCCAGAGTTACTAAACCAGCGACTGTTGTTGAATAACCCATGATTCTAACATTTCTGTCCAATAATTCTCACCTATCCATTACTTTAACCTCCAGTTCTAAATTGTTTAAGGCAAAATCCTTTCTGTTCTGAGTCAGCAGTGTCAGGAAACGAGCTTTTAGTGCCTAATAAAATAAATTTATTGGCACTTGTGCTGAAGTCCTTCCAAAGCGATATGATACTGCTTTGCTGCACTTGAATTTGTGTTTCTCTTTTGCACCAGGATCATCTTGATTAAATACAACTACTTTGATTAATATCATGGCACCAAGTGAGTGTATAAAGTGCAGTGACAGCTGCAAACAGCAGTTTCTCCCTGCTAGAAAGTGTACCATGGTCCATGTTTCTACCACACCGAAACCCTGGATCTTACAAGCAACCAGCTCAGCTCTGCCAAAAAACCACTCTTTGGATCACCTTCATTAAAGAAATTAAAACCAGATGGGAGAGAGAAGCATTCTGGGCTTTCTACAGGGCCACTGAGAAGGAATGGTGCTATAAAAACAACGTCAGGGGAATAACAAGCTCCTAGGAAGACTCATATCTGTTCAGCTTCATAAAACATCAGTGCTGCAACAGTACATAAGTGAGAAGTTTCGTTCCAGGTTGCTCTACGTCAGCACACTGCATTGTATTCAACTACAGGGGATGCATTCAGTGCACCTGCACATCCCCCACTGGCATCTCTTGACCCACAGACAGGTCAAGAAGGATTGAAATAGAAAGAGCAAAGTATTCAGACATTTTAAGCTTAAAAATATATATATTTTTAAATATGCAACTGTTTTAGCTGGAATAATTTTGTTATAATTGTTTTATATATTTAGATGATTAAGGAAGAAAGGAGATTTCGGTATAGGGATCACAAAATAATTCTTTATCCTCATGTAAGTATAACTGTGCTTTTATCTACAAGTGGAGAACCTGGAGCCCACACAGGAGCGACCCCCGCGCTGCAGCAAAGACGCCACTTCCGCGTTTCCGCGCGCGTGCCTAGTAGTGCCTGGAGGACCTTTCACCATCGAGACTGGGCGGCATAGAGTGGCCGCAGTAGTTACGCCACTTCCGCGTTCCAACGCGCATGCGTGTTGCTGTATGGAAGAGTATAGAGACTGACGGAGCCGGTGGCTCAGAGCGGCTTCAGCAAAAGGGCGCTACTTCCGCACGCGTGCACGTAAGGACCGATGACATCAAGTCCTGGAGGACTGGCGGGGCAGAGCGGTTACGTTCAAATCCACCGCTGGATCTGATCAGTGATGATCGGGATCTGAATGGCGGGGGTCAGGAGGGTGGGGCTCTGATCGGTGGTGCCCAGCAACAGGACAAAGGGCAGTGAGCACAAATGAGAAAACAGAAGTTCCATACGAGCATCAGAAAAAAAAACTTCTTTACTGTGAGGGTGGCAGAGCTCCAGAACAGGCTGCCCAGAGAGGTGGTGGAGTCTCCCACTCTGGAGATGTTCAAACCCACCTGGAAACTCTCCTATGCAACCTGCTGTAGAGAACCTGCTTCAGCAGGGCTTGGACTGGGGTCCCTTCCAACTCCCAAGGTTCTGTGATTTTGTAGCAGATGGCCAAACGTGCAGTCAGTTGGATAGAAAACCCTCTACTCGTATGACCAACAGTTACTGCAGAAAGATACAATATATCAGAGGAAGCTGTTCAAGGACTTCAGACTTCATGCATGTTTCCACGCAGCTTTCTTCATGCTGTTCTTTTACCGTTAATTCCATCTCAAGGAATTTCAAGCCATTTATTTCTAGGCGTCTCATTCATTCTCACTGCTTCTTCTCTGGTATCTCATCCGTGTTTCTTGCATAAAGTTTTTGAAGGCTGGTTCTTCATGACTCTCCTCAGTAACTGGGAGGAAAAAAAAAAATAAATCACAGTTTAATACCATTTCAGCATTTGTTCTATTTGTGTTCCTGAAGAAAGCTAGAATCATGCTAGTCTAAGCAACACTACAGGTCCATTTCATCTTCAGTTTCATTACAAAGGAAAAGAAAGAAGTCCTAAATATTAATTGAACAAGGAAAGAATGAAGATAAAATTTGCAAACTCTCACACAACACAGTCTAAGAACTTAAAAGGCATAACAAGTTGCCTAGTGCATGCATCTTATTTTATGCATTATTTTATTTTAAATGCTTACTTGAATATAAAATTTGCAGTTGAACTTTCATGAAGATTAGAGTGTGGTATCACTGGACTGAGCACTGAAGCTGGGCTTCTGCTACAGATTCAGACACCTTTATTCAGGTGACTGAATGTTTGCTTTTCTCTTAGGCTCTCGTTACAGTCAATACAGTTAATGAAATACAGAGGATATTTCATGCCTAAATGAGCAGCTTTTAGATCAAATCACATCTCTCATTCCCTTACCTTCATGGTCGATGTCATCAGTATCACTCTCCCTCTCTTCTTCATCCTCATCAAGATTTCCTCGTGTTAGGATCAGCTCAGAGGGACCCATTGCAGAAGCATCATCAGACCCTTGGAAGGAGCAGAAATGTTTATAGGCAAAACATCACACTAAGTAAGTTAGCTCATGCCCTGACCATTTCTATGTGCATACTATAAATACCTACTCTAAAGGGAACCCGTAAGCACTTTCTGTCCAAAGATTCAGAACAGACTGCATCAACACCAAACTGAACCTCATATAAAGCAACAGCTTGACCAACAGGAGAGTTTTCTCATATTCTAATTTGACTGTTTCATCTTTTCTCAAATATTTCATTACTCTGAGTACATCCACTGCTTTATCTACACACCAGTGTTTCTTCTTTGTGTGTTTGTGACTGACACATAGTAGAGCTAAGTCTGACCCACCCCACAGGAGCTGGAATCCCACTCCACTAAGATGAACACTTTCATGTTTTTGCAGAGGAATGCTCTATGTGATTTGTCAAGGCAGGCTCTTCAGAGAGCTTCTGCAGTAAACTTCATCTTCATTCCTGAGAAAATACCTGCAAGTGTGTTGCCCTGCATACACACAGGGCCCATGTCCTTCCGAAGGCGCTCCAGCTGATCTCTCTTTTGTTTATTTTGAGCCTTCTCCTGTAGGTACAAAGTTACGAGAGGCTTCTAAAAACATTTAAAATACATCTCCCACAATGCTCTGTCCCAGGGGCAAAAAAAATAAACAACAACCCAAAAAACAGAAATGAACAAAGCAGGTCTTACACTGCAGTTGAAGTTACACAAAACTTCTGGTTAAGCATGGAAAACAAGCAGCATAAGGAAATCAAACTTAGCGAAGCTGTGCCTGCAAGGACTGTCCTTGCACAGCCAGAACTCCATGTGAGCAGAGCTACTCATTTTGGCATTCCAATTCGGTCTTCATTATGAATTATCTCAGTCAAAACAGTGCATTAGACCAGTGCAGAAATATGCCACAGTAAATTTGAATTATTTAGCACTAATACAGTGAGCAACATCTCTTCTACAAAACACCCCTATTTTTGTAAAGATGTGCTCCACCAAATCTAGGGGAAAAAGTCAGACTGTGAGCTTCAGACTTTTTCACATTTAATATTAAATGAAATGTTACAGCCTCACAACACAGAGTCAATTCTGCACATAAAAGTGACTGCAAGATACACCACTCCAGGCTACAGTAATTAAAAGTACTTACCAATGTTCTCCTCAGGCGTTCGTATTCTGGACGATATTCCCTGCAAAGGTAAATATACACAGTGCATTCATTCTCAGCTAACACATCATTTATATAAAGAAAAGATCACTTTGGAGGGTTGTTTCTATCCCAAACTAAGGCTACTTCTAACCAAATTGTATTCTGAAACTAAAGGATGTAAAATAAGCGAATATACTCCATTAAAATGCCAAACCTTTCTCATGCAGTCTGGTTACATTAAAAAATAAAAATTAGGAAGAAAAAAAAACCAACCCAGCTCTATAGAACTAGTCGTTACACTGCCATAACCAGCAAATCACTCACTCTGACTAAACTAAAAGAGGGAAAAAATCAGATGTTAGAAAGAAATTCTTTACTCAGAGAGCAGTGAGACCTCTGGCATAGGTTGCTCAAAGAAGCTGTAAATGCCCCATCCTTGAAGGCATTCAAGACCAGACTGGATGGGGCCCTGGGCAGCCTGATCTACCACGTGGCAATTTGATCTAGTGGGTGGCAACCCTGTCCATGGCAATGGGGTTGGAAATGGATGATCTTTAAGATCTCTTCCAACCTAAGCCATTCTACTAGTCTATTAAGTTCACAAAAAGCTCTCTGTGTATCCATCTAATCTGTGTGGCTGGCTGCGTACATACATGACATCCAGACTCCCTATTAGTTTGATTTGGGGAGCATAAAGTTGTAGCAGCCTTTCTCAGGTTGTCTGATCCAGCATGATGTATTCTCCTCTAAAAATAGTATTTGGTCTGTCTTAGCTATTTCCATGTAATCCAAATTCCTAGATTTGCTTTCTAATGTTACACAGCAGTCTAGCAGTATTTCATGAGGAAGAATCCAGTAAATCCATCAAGTTCTCAAAGAATTCTTGAATTTCAGCTCACTCACCTACTCTGTCTACCTCTTTACGAAGACAATTCAAAGCTTGATCATTGTACAGAACCAGGTCAAAAAACTGACTTCAGAATTTGCTAGCACAGTTGGCTTTTACTTTTTTTCCCATTGAATAGCACAAAAAACTTCACCAGTGCATAGTTCCTTTTGATTGCTTCTTCTTATACTCTTAGATTTCAGTTTATTAGAAACCTTATTACCTCGGCTTGAAAAGTGAACACTTTTTCAAATCAAAGGAGTAGTTTAGTGAATTAGTAATTTCAGCAAGTATTCGGAGGGTCAGAAATCAAATGTTATCAACTTACCTCTCATATTCTTCTACAGCTTTAGAAAGTTGAACAAAAAAATCATCCAGTCCTGTGCCTAACACAGCGGAGACACCAACCACCTGTAAAAGAAAACCATACATTAGAACTAAAAGGTAACTGAAGTGAGTTTTTAGGTAAATGACAGAGAATGCAAGCTGAAAAGGCTAAGCAATGTCTCTGAAAAAATGCCTTTGAGAATCCAGTGATACCCCTTTTCTCCTCCATTCTCTACTTTTAAGTAATCCAGGGAACTGAGTGTTCCTTTCTCTTCTATAAAATTGATCCCAGAAGAAAAATAATACTAGTTTAAAAAGGAAAACTTGGTTCTGCAGCACACTCTTGTACTTCAGAACTCAATATCCCACAAAAAAATATAGTTAAGATAATACAGTGCCTAAATATAATGAACAAGATGGGGCAATTGTTATAGTTTCACACTGATGGAGCTCTGTCACACCACTCTCTCCCATCTCAAAGGGACTGAGGAAAAGAATAACAATAAAAAAAGGCTCAAAGGCTGAAAATGACAAGGAGATTATAGCCACAGGCAGAACAGACTTGGCATGGGGATATTAATGTAATTTATTACCAACTATTAACAGATGATAGCAGTGAGAAACTGGCCTTCTTGGCCACAAGGACACTGCTGGCTCACGGGCAACATGTTATCCATCAGGACACTCCTCTCCAGTAACTCAGCCCCTAACCTGTACTGATGCATGTGGTTATTCCTCCTCAGGTGTAGGACTCTACACTTGCCATCATTGAACCTCATCAGATTCCTCTCTGCCCAACTTTCAGCCTGTTCACATCTCACTGAATGGCAGCATGGCCTTCTTGTGTGTCAGCCTCTCCTTCCAGCTTTGTATCATCAGTAAACTTGCTGATGGTGGACTCTATCCCTGCATCCTGGTCACTGAAGACGTTGATCAAGATCAGGGAACACTGCTACTTGCAGACCTCCAGCTGGACCCTGAGAATAAATTGCTCCAGCATGTTGAGAACCTTCTAAAAAGCAGCAGAGCACTCCACACAGTTTGATAGCAACAGCAAACTTGGCTGAGGAGGCACCCTATCACTTCATCCAAGTCATAATGGATAATTAAAGATTACCCAGGGGAAACTCCACTAGACACCAGCCACCAACTAGACTCCTTGAGCTTTTTCTTCTCCAGGCTTTTGTGAAAGGCATTTACAATTAAAGATAAAATTAAAAAAAAAAAAAAAAGAGAGAGAGAGAGAAAACTTACCTTCAGTGAACTGTAAAACTCATCCAGCACTAAACTCATAGAACGAGTCAGGTTACTGACGTAGGAAGTCTCTTGATTCAGAGCATCCTGAAAAGTCTCAAAGTCCTGCATCCATTCTACCGCAAAACTGTGATCAATTATGTCTGTCTGGAAGGAGAAGACAGAGTTTTCAAGAGTAATAAATGATTAATTCTTTGTCCATATCTTATGGCTAAATTAAAGAAATGCAAGTTAAACTTACATAATGCTGATGTTTTCAAAAACATTCAGCCCTGGTCTGCAGTTTTCCAAGCTCTGTTTTTTTTAGTCTAATCAACTACTTGAATATAAGAAGAGAAAACAACACCTATCTCAGTTTTAAGGAGTGTTTAAGAAAACAACTGAAAGCCTGGCTATAAAAAAATGGCATGGCTTACTGAAAGGCATCCTAAACTTGCTTTACAAAACAGCTTAATTTGTAAATATTACATTTTATGATTGAGGTGTGACAAGAACAGACTGAATCCTTTTTTGACAGGCTTGGGAGCTGTGGGACACTTCTATGTTAGGCAACATGCTAAAGGACCTTTCAGCTGTGCTCTGACCTAAAGAACTTACAAACTAAACTCAGAGCAAGATCATGGACACAGAACAGATAAGATGATTTCATAAGTTTACATGGATTGATAATTGAACAGTCTATCGAAGAGTTTTATAAACATATCAAAGTACATGGAAATACTCAACTATTACAACACAAGTGCCTACAACTGATATATTTCATTTCCCAGCACCAGTAGAAAGGAGGAAAACAGAAGAAGGAAGTATTTCCTTATATTATTCAAAATACTTGTGACAGAACTGAATCCATCAAGGATCCAAACACTGACAATTTAGAAATGCTTTGATTGAGTTCTAAAAGTAAAATTGAATCAACTCTGAAAGTTGGTATTTTTTGTCCTCTGCAAATCTAATACTTCTTAAATCTATGTCACAGAATGATTTGGGTTGGAAGGAACCTTAAAGATCATCTAGTCCCAACCTCCCTGCTGTGGAGTGGGGGGAATGAACCTTCCAATTACACTGAGGTGCCCAAAGCTGAGGTATCCAACCTTGTCTTGAACACTGCCAGTCAGAGAGCATCAACTCCTTTGGGCAACCTGTTCAAGTGCCTCACCCTCCTCATAGGAAAGAATTTCTTACTTTTATCTAATCTAAACCTACCCTTAGTTTAAAACTGTTAACCCTTGTCCTGGCACTACAGTCCCCAAAGCCTTTTCTCAGAATACAGAACCCCAGGTGAAAGCAGAGTAAAGGGAGATAATCACCTCCTTTGACCTGCTAGCTGTGCTTCTTTTGATGGAGCCCAAGATATGGATAGTCTTCTGGGCTGCAAGCACACACTGCCCACTCCTGTCAAGGAGTACCCTCAAGGTACTCTCTTTATTACTGCACAATCCTTGGGATTTCTCCATTCTTATAAGGAATCAATTTTGAAGTGCTTGTCAATAATTCTTCAAATGCTGCTGACTTGTCTTGTTACTGAAGCCTAGAATCCAGAATTAAATGAAGCTGTGAACCCAAAACCTTGGGTCTACCCTTCCATACACATACTGTGGAAGTTCTGTTTCTTTTAGTCTTGCCAAAAAAGCATTTTCTTAAGAGAGAAAACCATTTTCCTGTCTCATGCCCTTTCCCACAGTTTATTCTAGAGCTATTGTCTGGAGAATAGCATACAAAAACCTGCTAAGGAAGAAGATATTAAAGACATGCACTGTAAGGGTCACTAGGGAGATGCATGTAGTTGGAGCACATCAGATATCAATCCTGCTCAGCAGAGGCAAGGTAAAATTTCACACTCAAAGTACTGACACTCTAAAAAGAAGCATGTAAGATACATATGCACACATAAAAATTGCTGTGTTGGAAGAACAACTCCTTGAATACAAAAAATGCCTGCAAGGAGAAGAGTACTTACAATAGAAATTGGAGTCTTCTAATACATGGAATTATTATGTTTAAAGAGCTGGCAAGCTGTTAAGCTTAAAAGTATTCCTTTAGGCTACAAACCAATACCTAACACAACAACAGAGGTGTATCCTCAGCATAGTAAGTATCTGCTTTCTGACAGATACTGGTACATTTTAAAAGTCTCCAATTAGAACCATACACATTTTGTACAGGCAGGTATGACACAATTCCTACCCTAAGTCTTCAGTCCAGTGTTCAGAAGCAATGATTAAGACAATTATTTTAAGAAGGCAGGGAACTGTAAAGGCAGATTCAATAATGAACTTACCCTTACATTAGAAAGTTATGCTTCCTTATAGCATAGCATTAAGCTGTTAGGAGGCCATGGATGGCACTCTTTAAAACAAGTGCAGGTGAAAAACAGATCTATCAAAGAAACACTGAAGCAGTGGGAATTTCTGGGCCAAGGTCCAAACATTCTACTTTTAAAGACTAAGATGAGAATAGGACTGGCATCCAGTCACTCAGACAGCTTCCTATGGGAAAATCTACCTCTGTGACATACATTTCTAGTTAACACTGAATTTGTAAAACATATTTTACAAAATTCACTCAAAAAAAAAAGGATTTAGAACAAGAAAGTCTCAAGGAACCAAATCTCTAACAGATCCTGCAAAACATTTTTCAAATTGGTAGCATGACGTCTAATTTAAATGTTTGGGTGTAACTGCCTGTCCCTGTTTTTCCTCACTACTTACTTTGCCTGGTTAAAGATCTTTTCTAGATTCAGTTTTCAGCCTGCAGCTCCTTCCCAGCCTTTCTTTTTCAGAAAAAGCCTGGCCTGGTGATTGGCAACCCTGCACATAGCAGAGGGGTTGAAACTCAATGATCACTGTGGTCCTTTTCAACCCAGGCCATTCTATGATTCTACGATTCTATAATAAGATGAAGATGGTAGAATAAAACAAGCTAAAGAGAAAAATACTCTACTGGAATTTAGAAACCATAGCTTTCATTTACCTTGTTCATGACAACAATAAAAGGCAGCTTTGTCTTGTACAGGATACTGAAATTTTAACAAAAAAAAAAAAAAAAAAAAAAAAAAAAAGAACTGTTAAAAAATAATTTAACACTCATTAGAGCAGATAAAAATATTAAACAGAAAGCAGGCAAGACTTGTGCAAAACATTCCAAGATGACTTCCAAGATCTCTTCTGATCCCTTCTGAATCCCTGGAGGCATTCAAGGCCAGGCTGGTTGTGGCTCTGGGCAGCCTGGTCTGCTGGTTGGCGACCCTGCACATAGCAGGGGGGTTGAAACCAGATGATCATTGTGGTCCTTTTCAACCCAGGCCATTTTATGATTCTAGAAATCCAATATGCTAAGCCTCTACTTGTCAGACATTTAAGTTAGAACCATCTTTTTTCAGAGACAAGAAGAAGAAAACTGAACTACAGTCAACATCTGGAAGAAATGCATTAAAAGAAGTCAACATTGGGATTTACATACTTAATAATTTGTCTGCTCCATTATTTATTTTAAGAACAGAAATCCCTTATTCAAGTCAGAAGGCAGATTGAATATAGCCACAACAACATTCTAACTTAACTGTAAGCCCTGGTCCTTCCTATCAGCCACATTCCCAAAAAATGAGCTGGACATATTCTCAACTGAAAAGCTCCCTGGATGAAGTCTAAACAGTCACTCTCCCACCCAAACAGATAACATAAAGGGGACAATGCACTCAAATGAGATGGTTTGCATATTCAGCTTTTCTTACCTGCAGGCATACAGCATGTTGGACATAAAGGTGATAGGGTTGGTACTGCGAGAGGTGTCCATCACATAAACAACAACTGAAGGAAAAGAAGAAGCCTGGAAAAACATGGCAAAAGGCATCTTGATTAGAAGAAGGCAGGCCCATTTTTCACACAGCCTCAATATCAAGTAATGTAGAATACACCTACCAGTGCCTCAGTTATGATGGTTCCTGATGCTGACCACGTGAACACCTCAATCTGTCCTGGTGTGTCAATGATAACATACCTGTTAAGAAGTCACCACCAACAAAAAAAGTCAAAATTAGTCAGGCACAAGTCCTGTTGTGACCAGATTACCACATGCAGGGAACAGCAAATCACATTATTACTGTGCTACAGATCAGAAAAGCTTCTCCCAAACAGCGATGAGATTCATGAGTATAGCTGAAAAATTCCTGTGTGACTTTTGTGAGAAGCACTCACTCTCTTAAGATTCTGTTAGAGCCAAAGGCATTCATTTCACACATACTATCTCTCCAGAATCAAAGCTAAGTCTTGCCTGTTTAAGAAGGAAAGTGAAGAAAAAAGTGGAAGTCTGATGAAGGATGAGAAAAGCCAATCTAGAATCAGTAGATATTTCTTCATAATACTTTTTTTTTTTTAAAGTCCAGTAACTTGTTCTATTTCTACACTTTTTTTCCAGATAAAATTTACCCCAAGGTCGAAGAACAACTAGGAAACACAGAGAGATCCTTTTTATGGATGTCACATATTTTCCCACATAGATTCCAGAATAACAAAACTTGGTAGAATATACTCACTTGGATGCATTTTGTCGTTTTTCGATAAACTTCATCACCTGATGGAAAAAGCAGCAGCACATTTTGTATTTAGGCTCTGAACAGGAAACTTGAATAATCATTTTGTAATGCAAGCCTCAACTTTAGCTTACACAACTACCATAGCTATAAAAATAGACAGTGATACAATAAAAGCTAGAAGTCTCTAAATCTGAAGATGGAAACAGATAGCAAATACTCAGATACAGTGAAACCTTGCAAAAACAGCCCTGATTTTACCTGTGTTCTGGTACCTGCTGAAACAAATGGTACAATGAATGCAGCTGTTCTCTACTTATTTCCTAAGAGATTTGGCACTTCTTTAACTCAGTAAGGTTGCCACTCCAGTGCTGATTAAGCATTAACGTTTAAGAGAATATAAAATTATCAAATAAGCTTAGGGAAACTTGATCAATCTCCAAAAGTGACTTCTGTACTTCAAAATCAGAGCAATCACATGCAAGTTTTTACAGTGAATACAGAAACAGAACAGTTATGTGACTTAAAGTTCTGTACATGAGACCTCAAATTTTACATTACAAAGAATTGTAGGAAAAGAATAAGGATATATTTCACTTAATTAAAGAGCTACTGCAGTTTGGCTGCTTTGCAAAATAAGGAGAATGCACTAACTCTAAAAAAATATTAGAAGGTTAAATAGCACTTTCTAAAACTCTATACACAAAAAATAACTACAGCCTCCAGGCACAGTATACACATATGAGCAACCTCATACCTGATCAAATCTCGTAGCAAAAAGATTAAGAGAGGTCACTATTCCACCATTCGGGCCCAGCCCGTATCTAGATGCTTCATTCAGGAAAGCAGGTGATCATGCAGACCTCAGAGAGCTTATTTTTAACATTCTGACAGTTGTTGGCCTTTTGCAATGCACACTGGGTACCTTACAGAATAAGACAATACTACACATACACAATTAAGTCTTCTAAGTGCTGCAGTAGATAAATAGCATGGCCTTTTTTTTTTTTTTACACCAACAAGTGTGACTGTCAAAATGAAGAGAGTTTACCCCGAGGTTTCCCTTGCCAGTATCCAACCATGACTATTTCAGACAGAGAAAAATGTATGCACACATGTTCTTTGTCTTTCCAAACAGATGCACTACACAGTCAGTAACTCAGTACTTAACAGTGTCCTGAATGCATTTCATTTTTAAGAATATGTGCTTCAAAATATAATTAAAAGATTTCCTGCACAAATCATTCATAGAATTCAAATGGAATGAATGGGAATGAACCCTGTAAACATACTGGGAGCACCCTGAGGATGAAGACTTGAAAATTCCTTCCTGTGCATATGGATCTGTCTATTAATTAAGTTCACAGACACAAATACTCTTTTATTATGTCATATATTTTTTTTTACTGCATAAAAGCTAGGAGTGATTTGCCAGTACATGCAGTATTCCAGGGTCACTGCTCTAGATCTCCAAGCATACTGACAGACACTCTCTTTAAGCACTGTTTAATCATAGAATTGCTCAGGCTGGAAAAGACCTTCAAGATCATCAAGTCCAACCACAACCTAACCATACTACCCTAACTCCAACAACCCTCTGCTAAATCATGTCCCTGAGCACCACATCCAAATGGTTTTTAAACACATCCAGGAATGGTGACTCAACCACCTCCCTGGGCAGCCCATTGCAGTGCTTAACAACCCTTCTGTAAAGAAGTTAATGAGATGTTAAACTCCAGTGACAGTTAACAGACACAGCAAAGCAAATAACACGCCCATATATCAAATTCAAACTTCTGCTAAGATGTTTTGCTAGTAACTCCTAATCAAACAGCCAAAATCATAATCCTAACATCCATCATTTCTATTTTTTCCTAAAACATTACATTAAGAGAGCCAAACCAGTAGGCCAAATCCAAGCACTGTATATTACATCCATCTGCAAAACCTACGACTGAAGGGATAAAAGACCTCCACACCTCTCTGGAATTGCAGTCACTTTAGTATAATATTACTGAATCACAATCCCCAAGCTACTGTGCAGCTTAAGACACATCTCCAATGTCTTACAGACCCAGAGAGACAAAATTTTATTATGATCAAACTATGCAGAAATAGTTTTTCATCACCTTCTATGGGCAAATACTAATTTGCATGATTTTAAGAACAAAATTAGATTTGTAAATACACAGGGAAGAAGCTGCTGGCCTCCTCTATTACAAATAGAAACTGGGTGAACAAAAAACACAAAAGAGACGTGGACAGAGTTCCTGTGAAGGTGGTGAGACACTGAACAGGTTGCCCAGTGAAGCTGTGGATGCTCCCCTCCATGGAAGCATTGAAGGCCAGGCTGGATGGGGCTGTGAGCAACCTGGCCTAGAGGGAGGTATCCCTGCCTACAGCAGGGGGTTGGAACTACATGAGCTCAGAGGTCCCTTCCAACTCAAACAGTTCTATGATTCATGCTATTTGTAAAAACATACTACTAAGCAGAAACACCTGCAGCACATAAGAAGAGAATGACCCAAGGAGCATAAAAATCTTGCTCACACACATTTCTAATCTCAGATGCGAGAAATATACAGTCAAAAACCTTTGGTCTTTGTGCAACAATCTGCACTGTTGCAATCCCAATCCCCCTTCATCCTCCCATGTAAAAGTGACAGCTTTTTTGAAACCTGAGATTTCAAAGATCATTGCAAGACCAAAAGAAAGGATACTGCTTCATGACTTCTTTGTACTTCACAGTGTCCCGGATATCTAGAATGGGAGAAAGCATAAATTGTTTCAGTATATTTATTTTAAAACAGTCTTCTTTGTTAATTTGCTTATCATCAAAACTCTTTCCTTTTCTATCAAGTCTCCTTTTGCCTCAGTAACAAATCTAGTACCAGCAGGAAAAATCTCATACATAAAAAAAAACAAAACAGACCTGCTGTGCTCTCAGTAGATACATGAAACCCAGCATGACTCATGTGAAGCTTCACCAGATTATTGAGCCATAACTGCTTAAGCTGAATTTTATTATTTCATCAACATCAGTTAATAAATCACACATCTTTCAAACACTTATCACTTTATGAGAGACCCAGAACTGGGAGGCATTCTCTAACTCTTCAGATGACATCACTAAGAACACTTTGGTATCCAAAATATCTTTTTTATTTTCTAAGAGATGGGCTAACACTTTTAGAACGTTTAAGTGACAGAATCCTCAACAAAGCTAAGTCCTGGCAAGCCTTGGGAACTGCAGATCTTTGGGAATGGCTGGTCATAAAGCCTGTTTGCTTTTAAGGTATTTTATCTAAAAATTGATGTCTTTTACGTTACTTTAAGAAGTTATTTATTAGCATACAGCCACTGCTTGGCTCTGAGGATAGGAAAACCAATCAAATCTGCTAAAATGTTCATTGTCAATGACAGGGAAAAGAAAAAAATAAAACCACATGCATTTAATCACACTCCAACTCCATTATGGGGACAGTTCTCATTAATATCTTCAGAAATGACTTGGATTTAGGACTGGGAGATGCTTTCAGCATGTTTCCTGATGATACTATATTGTGAGGAGCTGCTGGCTTTGTCAAGAGCAAAGACACCTTGCTGAGATCTAGGCAAATTACAGAGCTGAGCAATCACCAGTTGCATGAAATTTAACAAGAGCAGGTGCCAGATTCTGCAACCAGAAAGGGGCATTCCTGGCTATATATACAGGCTGAGGGATAAGATGCTGAGGAGCAACCCTGCTGAAAGCAATTTGGGGAATGTGGCCTACAGCAAGCTGAACATGAGCCAACAGTGTGCTCAAGCAGCCCAGAAAGCCAACCATACCCCAGGGTGCATCAGGCCCAGCACTGTCATACAGGCAAGGGAAGGGACTGTCTTGCACTGCTCTACCTGGTGTGGATTCACCTCAAGCACTGTGTGCAGGTTTGGGTACCACAATATAAGGATATAAACGTAAGACAGAGTTTCCAGAGGAAGGCTACGAAATGGTCAAGGGTCTGTAGAGAAAGATACGTGAGATGCTGCTGAGTTCCCTCAGTGTGTTCAGCCCAGAGCAGAGGAAGCTGAGAGGAGGCCTCACAGTGACCTACAGGTCCTCACAGTTGGCAGAGGGGCAGCACTGAGCTCTGCTCTCTGGTGACAGTGACAGGACCTGAGGGAACGGCACAGAGATGAAGGAGGGGAGGGCCAGGCAAGATATCAGGTTCTGCACCAGGGGGTGGTTTTATGTGGAACAGGCTCCCCAGGGCAGTGGGCATCGCCCTCAGCTGCCAGACTCAAGGAGCACTTGGACACTGCTCTCAGACGTATGCTTTGATTTTTTGGCTCCTTGGGTTTGATGGTCCTCGGGGGTTCCTTCCAAAAGAAAACAATCCAGCACTCACAACAACTTAAAGTCCTCCTCACGTTAGGCCTTGGCACTTTTTAAAGAGAGAACAAACAGCCTAACCGAGTGCGTGCTGTGAAATACCTCCTCCTCTTCGCAGAGTACAAGGAAAGCAACGCATCAGAACAGCTTTACCTCGTTCACAGCAGAAGGGTCCCGCTCCGTTCCTGCAGACCCTACAAACGCGATCCCCCACCCCGCCCCGTTTCTCCCCCGTCGCGCTGCCGCCCCTCTCACCGATGTTGGCGGGGAAGGGCAGCTCGTGCACGGCGGGGTCCAGGTTGATCACGTAAGGTGGGCACCGCTGGCCGTGCAGGTGGGCCGCGAGGCACTGCGGGGACACAAGATGGCGTCAGGCCCCTCCCGATGCGGCGGAACGCGGCAGCGCCCGCCACCACCCCTCACCTGCACGAAGGTGGTTTTCCCGGAGCCGGCCATACCCAGCACCAACACGCAAACCGGCGCCGCCGACTCTCCCGCGGCCGCCATCTTTCCCGGCACTACCTTTGCGTTTCCGGGGCGCGATCCGTAGCTTCCGGTGATTGGCCGGAAGCTTTCGATGATTGGCTAGCAGCTTCCGGGATGTGGCCTGCAACTTCCGGCCTGGCGCCGCGCGCGCTCGAGGGTCGTTTCGCCGCCGGCCCGGACCGCGTGGAGAACTCGGCGGCGTCCCCGCGGCCTGGGAGTTGGCAGCTGCTGGGAGGAGACGGTTGGAGGTGACCGGAACGGAGCGAAGGGCCGTGCGTGCGGCTCTCTGGTGGCGTCACCATGCCGGGCAGCGCGGTGAGTGCCTGGCGGAGGCGATCCGGAGCCGTGCGGCCCCGCTGTGGTGTGGGAGGAGCGGGGGGTTGGGGAGGGGGAACGGGTCTCGGTATTTCGGGTCTCTTTCTCGCCTCGAGAGTCACCCGGGTAACGGCGGTAGGACGTGAGGTGATGGCCTTACGTTGTGCCAGGACGGGTTCGGGTTGGGTGTTAGGAAACGTTTCTTTTCTGAAAGAGTGACCGGGTGTTGGTACAGCTGAGCAGGGAATGGTGGGGTCACCGAACCTGGAGGTGTTCCAGAGCTGTGGAGATGTGGCACTGAGGGACGTGGGCTTGGACTTGATTATTGCAGAGGTCTGTTCCGACTTCAATGATTCTATGAGTCTGGAAGGGTGCTGGGTCTGCCCCAGGGCCTTCCCCGTGGGGGTGGGGACAGGCAGCATGGGGCAGTTGCTGTTTTCCACTGACTCCTCAATAACTGTGGAACCAGTTCATCAGCACATCTCTTTTTCTTGTTGCTGCAGATCATTTACAATGACCTAGATTCTTCATACTGATTTTGGATTATTTTACAAAGCTTAGTAGTGCTAAAAATAGCCAAACATGTGCTGTGTTTGTCAGTCATGGAGGTTCTTCTCATGATGGATCAGGACAGATGATTACAGCAGACTGTGCTCATTCATTTTATCATTATAACATCGCACTTAAATGGCCTGATTTTTTTTCCAGCTGCTCATCACACTGAGTTTCCTCCACCTTTCTGACATAAAGTTTCCCATATATTCTTGTATATACTACTAGCAACATGTAAACTCTTATCAAAGTAATGCAAACGCAAACCTCGAACTGTTGTCTGCTCCTATACATAAATTTAAGAGGAAGTTTTTCACCCAGAGGGTGGTGAGGCACTGGAACAGGTTGCCCAGGTTGTGGATGCCCCATCCCTGCAGGCATTCAAGGCCAGGCTGGATGTGGCTCTGGGCAGCCTGGTCTGCTGGTTGGTGACCTGCACATAGCAGGGAGTTGAAACTAGATGATCATTGTGGTCCTTTTCAACCCAGGCCATTCTATGATTCTATGATACAGTTGTCTACATACCAGGAACAAAGTACAGCAACATAACAACACAAGAACATAAGAAGTAGTGAGAAGTAGTTAAAGGAAACAGTTGAGCAACTCATGGAGTGTGACAAAATAATTGAGATGAAGAATGAAAAAAGAACTTAAAGAGTACAGAAACAGCATTCTTGGCCTGGAAAATGCAAGAATTATTATGGGAAAAGGCACCATAGAAAAACCAGTAGATTACAGTCTTTGTCATGTGGTAAGGTATGGGCAGAAAGCAGGTACCACTGAATTAAAGACAGAGAAAAACTCCATGCCCAGTGCAAGGAGAATGATTGCATTTCATATGAGAAGTGGAGAGGGGCTTGTGGCTGTTCTGATTGGAATTCTACTGTAGCTGGAAGTGAAAGGGTTCCTTGTTACAGAGTAGCTTCCTTGTTGCAAAAGATGTCTTTTTCCTATTCAAAGAATGATGTGGTCATCCTCAAAGTACAGATGATTGTGCTTGACTGGAAAGAATAAGAGAAATTATAGTGCTGATGTGAATTGTTCTGCTTTGTTAGGCTACCAGCGCTGCGCATCATGGACAGCAGAAGGGCAAGAGGCCAAGATCTCTGGAAAACAAAAAGTATGTAATATTTTGTGTAGACTTTGACTGAGGGTCAAAAGAAAAAAAAAAAAAGAGTTGAGATTCCTGTTGAAAAATTGCACCTGACTTTTATGTAATAGTCTAAATGTTAAGAGCTGCGGTGCTTTTTGTTTGTTTGATGGAATCTCAGGTGAGATCCACACTGGCCCCTTATGGCTTATAGAGAAGTATTTATTTTTACACTGTGATGAACTTGTGATTGCTCCTTTCATTGAAATGCTAAGGTAGGATGAGTATCTTTATATTGATGCTCTCAGGTAGCTTACTAATGTCAAACTCTTACAGATATATTGAATAATAATAATATATTGCTGGCATCTTCCAGTTCAGAGAACTGATAATGAGATTTCAAATTGATGTTTTCCAGGACTAAACAATTTGATGAGATGGAAACTACTCCCCTAGGATTGAACAATAATTATAATGAGACAGCCAGCAACATTTCTTCTGGCTCACAGAAGAGTACCGTGAATGGAAGAGCAGAGTCCAGAAGCAAGCGGACCATTCGCCGGCCTGCTTACTGGCTGGAAATGAGAGGCATAAAAAACAATGTGAACAAATCTGCAGATGAAAAAGGTACTCATCACTCTTGGCTCAATGCAAAACTGTTTTTCCTCTTCAGTTCTTTCATGAGAGATGGAGAGACTTGATGATTTCTAAGTCGTGGTGCAGTTCAGCCACAAATTATAAGCTTGATAGTGATGCTGATACATTAGGATGCTTAAATTTCCTCCACTGCAGCAGTGCAGATTAAATTTTCTGGTGTTATGCAGTTCCTTTTAAGTGACTTGTCTATTAAAATTAGTGATTCTATGAGTGATATCAGTTTTATCTGAAGAAGAGGAGTGTGTAGGGCATCTGCCAATCATTTCAGCATTATACTGTAATAACTTGAAAAATAGAACAAGCAGTGCTAAAAATGTACAGAAGCAAATCAGTATGCAGCATTCTGGTTTAGACATGGCTTTTGTGGTTGTTAGATTTTTGGTGGGGAAGGGGGTTGAATGTTTTTACAACTGTTGTTTTCTCTCTGTTGTCATTTATGATCTCCTTACTTGGAGTGGATGGGGTCTTATGTTGTTTTAGGGACATTCAGAATGGCTTCAGAATCATTTTTCAAACTTTTTGTGTGGCTCTTCTTTCTTTAATGGTTTTTCCTCCTCTCACTAAATTGGGACCTGTGTATTATCCTGTTGCAGGGAGGACCAAATATTAACTTGATAAAGGTGAGGTTGCTGCAGCTTCATGCCCCTAGGTCCAACCAGTAGCAAGACTGAGCATATATTCCCATGAGTACAAACATGTATATTCAATACATGTATACACAGCCAGCCATACAGATCAACAGAAATGGATGTGCTCAGCACTCACACAGACAGCACTGATGGCATCCATCCCATTTCCCTCTCTGGCTGATCAGCGTGGAGATATGTTAGTGAGAAAAAGGTGTACATACACATATATATCAAACATATATATGTATCTATGTTTGTACACACGTGTGCAGTGTGAATCCCTCCTGTAGCTGAATTAGGCACTGCCTCTGGATCCTGGTCTCTCCTGTTGCTGGTATAAGGACATACTAGTGCCTTGTGCCTGCAGAGCCACTCCAGGTGCTGGTGTGCACCTCCTTTCAGACATGCTCTGACTCAAATATTCTGAAGGGAGTTGGCTGGAACTCCCCTCCTCCCTCTGGTTGCCAGTTTCCACTTGTTCTTCTGCCTTACCACACACACATGCATACACCTGGCTCCCAGTTTTCTTCCCCTTCTCCCCCAATAGTCCACTTGGCAGTTGCATGCAGTCACACTCACAGACTCATTCCAGTTGGTGGCACCACAGACACACTGGCCCCTACAACCTTTGGTATTGCTTTACTGGCTGGCACTTAAGCCTCCCTGCAGTCACCTATGGACATAGGTCCATAAAATATAGAGTCCTGCACACAGAGACTACACTCATGCATTCGTAGGTATGAGCAAACTTGTGTGCTGACCAACTGGTTGTTTACAAGCAAGTGGCCTTACCCTTGCTTGTTTTCCCACAAGTTCTTCCCCAAACCACCTAATTCCCTCCCTTTCCTTGCCTTTAATGTCTTGTGTAATACTTAAATGGTCTTTGCCTGCATTCCATGTATCCCATAATCCCAGGTGTTAACAAGACACTCACCACCAGTTCAACACACTTCCCATTCCAAAGCATGGTCCAGGGAGCAATTCCCATTGGTTCACCTTGAATCTTGTACCTAAAAGGTGAGGTTGATGGGTATCAAAGGAAGAAGGTATCTGTTTCTTTGAATCCCTAGTTTGCCTGCAGTGGCACCATGCTGTACTTCTCTGCACTCATGGAGGGTCATAAGACACTATTCTGAGTACATAAGGAGCTGTAAGTGCTGGCAACTTTCTGGGTCTTTGATGAGCCTGCAAATAGTGAGGATAGGCAGAACATTATCCATGTTTTCCCACCTTTCATTGTCTCTCTGTGCTGCCTTTTGTGTGTGCAGATGAGCTTTTTATGACATAATCTAGCAACTTCTAGCTCTCTTCCTAAGCAGTACAACTTTCCCAAGCCATGTTATCACACTGCTCTTTCCATGTCTTGTGTATTGGAGGATTGCAGACCATGGAGTTCCTAATGTGAATGGGTCATAAAGCTCACTGGTGTCCAAGTGCCTCACAAAAAACCACTTTTTTCTTTAGAAGTATGAGGAGAAACTGAGGTAGCAGACAGCTGCTGTTATGCAGACTGAGTTTAATAAGACTGAAGCATTTCTTTTCTTGCTTGTTAGCAGAAGTGCTTTTGAAAGGCAAGAGGAAATCTGAGCACAGGGAAGGTGAAGATCTTAAAGACACTCCCAAGAAGAAGCAGAAGATTTCTGGTAATATTAAATAACTTTTTATATCTTGTTACAGGCATACAGGTACTTCAGACTTCTTTTCTGCCCAAATGCTGTCCTCCATGTCTATTCCTGATTCTGTGTATCTTGTAGGATGCTGCTGAATAGCATTTTTTTTTTATGATGGGGGGTGGTTATTCTTATTTCAGTCTCAAAGTTGAGCAGAGGGACGGAAAAAGGAAATAGAGCAAGAACAATCTGGTCAAGTTCATTTTAGTTTCCCAAAAGATTCTGAACTAAATAATCAGGCAGATTACTGGAGATTGCTGAGTATATGATGAAACATGAAGCTGCATCGAAGGAAGGTCATATAGGGTTAGGAAGAGGTTTTGCACCAGAAGGTAGTGGGTGTGGAGTGGACCCTGAGCTGCTGGAGTTCAATAAGTGTTTGGACAATGCTTTCAGACATA